TATTATTATTCCTAAAAATGACGGGGTTGGAGTAAAATGTATATATACTCTCCTATAGATAATATTAAAAATACACAAAGAATACAATAATTGGGAATCTAAACGAGCTATATATTAAGGCTACACGAATTAAACTTTTTTGGGAAATGGTACGGTCCCGTTATTGAACAATTCTGTCGAGGTTTGTAACCGTTACATGATGATCTAACGGTTACGAATCCTGACGGAATGGTTCCGTAACGGGGTTTGATGATCTAATTTCATTGATTTAATTTCTTCTTGTTTATTCATTCTTTTTGTTAATAGGCTTTTGAAGAATCTCAAGCTGCAGTGACGAGCTTATTATAGGAACCCATGCATGCAACAATTTCGTAATAAGAGATTGTTTTCAACTGCTTCACCAGTCCCGCAAGTCATCTTCTAGGAAAAACAAATTTTAAATACAATATATCTATATATATATATATATGTGCGTGTGTGTGTAATATTCAAGAAGAATTATAAGATCGACTAACATGTCTATGTAATATGTCTGCTATTTTTGCGTGAAATGCAAGTACCGAATCGAAGATTCGTTCCCCGTGTCGATCTCTCGAGAAAGGCGGTTCGAAATTTAATTCTGGTATTGATAGCACATAAAAAGAAAATAAAACCTAAACACTCTAATCAAATAGGGGTTGAGCAATTACCAACTAAGAAATAATAAAAAACAATAATCTACCTAAGAAAATAAACGAAACAAAGATGAAGAAGCTAGGGAGTCGGGGACAATTAATTCAAACTTTATTTGCACACCGGGGCATTAATCATTCTATTCTAGATTGACGCTCAATTACGAAATCATCTATCTCGTGCGAGCCTAAGTCTACGACTTTTCCCCTTTCGGTTCTAAAAGTCGCTAATTAAATTAGAAGAGAATTAATCGACTAATCATATAGAATCAACAAAACGCTAACTCGACTAATCAACATTCAATTGTTTCCAATTGCAAGATCGAAGTGTCACTCTTCGATTATATCAATCAATCAAACAAGATTTCACCAATTCCTAATCAAATCAACTCACACAAGAACGAACAATTTAAGTCCGACAAATACACGCTAAACGAGAACAATCATCCCCTATCTCTAGCATTAATAAGAATTAGCTACATAAATTGAATTCAACACAATCAAGCATTTCAACCCACATAATCATTCTCATTCAATCCAAGTTCAAATGTCGAATTCCAAATACAAGCTTAATCCTTGAATTCTAAGAAGAAGAAGGAAAAAAATGGAAAAGAAAGGTGAAAAATGAAGAAGAAGAAAAGAGAAAGGAGAAAGGAGTTTTTGTCTTTTTCCCGATCTTCGGGTTTTCACCCCGGAGGGAGTGAATGAAAAAAAAAAAAAAAACAGTTGGGAGACTTCCCCAAGTCTGGAGGGTCGTTATGATATATAGAGCTCGAATTACAGAGAAAAAACGAAAAGAAATAAAAATTGCAAAATCTGGTCGCGGTGATGAAGATCACGTGTCCCGGATGTGTGGTTGCCTCGAAGTTGCGCGCGAACGGCTTTTTACTCGGCGTTGGTGCGGACGACTCAGAGGTTATTCTCTTTATCTTCTCACGATAGGTGAGAAAGCTCGGACGTGAATCCTTGCCAAAATTGAGCTTATGACGAACTATATATGCGGTGGAACGCCCTTTTCGACACAAGGATTTTGTACTAAATCTCAAAAGAATTCTAACACAAGAGATTGAACAAAAGTTCAGATTTTTATTAATAGTCCAGATGATCCAAAATAACAAGAGCATGTGCCTTTATATAGGCTTCAAATAAATCTAGTTCTAATCCAACTAAATCTCCTAATAAAGCAATAAAATATTTTTTTTTTTGGTACAGGGACCTTCCAGTTTCCGAATCCACAGGGGAACCGACTAATCTGGAATCGAGCCGGGTAGGACCACGAGGGCGGCAAATCTCTCTCTCAAGAGTTTTTAACACTGCTAAATGTCCTAAATAATCTAGAAATCATGAAATAACAAGGAAACTAAAGATATCATAACCTAAACCAAAGTCCTAATATGCTAAGGAAGCTTATTAAATCATGTAGGAAAGTATCAAGAATAATCTAGAGAAGATTCAACTAAAAAAGACTCCTAGAAGACTCGAATTCTTGCTCGTCAAAACCTACGATGGCGCGTCCGTTTGCGGCATTTTTTCCTTGGCCTAAATGCGTCCCGTGCTCGGGCTTGGTAGGGCCGGGGACCACATCTTCATCATTCTCGCCTCCTTTAAGCACATCCTTATCCTTAAGGATCGGGATACACCTCTTGTGCTTGTTCTCTTCATCCATTAGCTCTAAACACCTTAATCCGCACACTTAACCGTTCCTCTCGGTTTGGTTTTCAACATGATCAATCTCTTACCCGAATAAAATTCCATTATCCCCTCCTTATAATCTGTTTTAACTTCTCCAAGTCCTTCTAGCCATTGTACCCCAAGGACTATGTCAGGCCCCACCAACGGTAATGAGTAGAGGTCGGCCTTGATGGTCTCGCCTTGGAGATTGATGGGCACGTTGCGATAATACTTATGGCATCGTAGTTTTTTCCCGTTGGCAAGTCTTACGTCGAATGGATCCATCTTTGTTGCCGGTAACTTCAATGCGTCCGATAATATGGCACTAATACAATTGTGGGATGACCCTGTATCAACTAACACCTCGAGAGATCGTCCTCGAACTGTCGCGGGCAACTTAATGGTTCTCGGCCGATGCACTCCCGACATCGCCTTAACCGAAATTTCCAAGTCCTCCTTGACGTAGTGCCTCGTTTCCACCTCCTCGACTTTGACCACTTCAGCTTCTTTGGACTCGACCAACGGGAAGAGGCGTGGGTTGCTTGAGGGCCTCTCGTCGATCTCTATCCATGCAACATTCGACTTGCATTTATGGCCCGACACATATTTTTGGGTGCAAGTAAAACATAGACCCTCGTCT